ACATTCTCACTTCATCTACAATAGAGATTGATGCCAATCGCGCTTTCCAAGTATTATGTTATTCGTAGCTTGCTTATATATATGGTATAAGGTGGAAGTCAAATAATAATCTAACCCTGAACACTAATAAAAAGATATAGTATACAATAGACATAATAAGCCAAATACCATGCTTCATTACTAGTACGAATCAAGAAACTATACTAATTTGGGATGGTGGTGCCAATCAGAATTTTCGCCTTTTTTTATTATTTTGATGTTTGTAGTTTGCAAATAAATTATTTATTAAATCCAATAGAAATTATGAAAAATCAATTAAAAGCGAATAGTTTCAAACAAAAATGGTTATATGGCCCCATTATGGCCATCCATAAATGAGCATTTTGCACAATATGCATTCAACATAAAAGAAAAAATCAGAAAGGTTCGTAACAGAATACTAATGTCTAATATTAAAAAATTTTCTATTCAATAAATTGAAAATGTAAGTATAAAATCGGCAATAAAAGACTATAGATCACAAAGAAGAAGCAGAAAAATTAGAACTTTCCAAACTTGCAACGGAAATTTGGATGGTGATATGCATATTAATACTATAGGTATAATAACGGCAAAATTATATTCCTTTGAAAACATTACTATCTCTGATTCAACATGCAAAAGAATTGAATACACTGGGTATTTATTTCATTTTCATATAGTAATGAAACGGTAACTACTTTGTCGGTCAGTTGAAGGATCAGAAAACATTATTTAAAAGATCAAGTGAAAATGATCGAAATGATTGACGTTTAATACAATTGAGCAATATATTATCAATATCTTTTAATATTAATAATAGTAATATATTAAGTTTGTTATATAATGAAGATTTGATCAATACAAATCAGCATCAATATAAACTCTGGCAAGTATTGCTTAAAAAACCACCTTGCACATTCACATCTATATTGAGAAGTTTAAATCATGCTTAATATTGTATTATTAGCAACTTGTATTAACCCATTGCATTACGAGATTAGATGAAACCTGTAGTGAAATAAAAAGTGCTGCACAGTTAATGGGAAATATAGAATTATGTACTAAAATGGATAAAGCTCGAAGTTTGATAAAACGTGATATTGTATTTGCAACTAGCTTGGTAAGTAGTATGATAATACATGATGATATTAAAAGTTCATTTGTAATTATATAATCTATAAAAGTTATATTAATACAATTTAATTATTACTTATAGTATATTCTACAAAACCAACAACAAAAATAATTTATTACTTTTGTAAGTTTTAAAAAATAAACGAATAAATAGCATTTAATATTTTTTTTATATATTCTTAAAGAAAATTCCTGGCTCTCCAGGTACTGCAAACTCTGTTAATCTTTTTTCTTCTGAAACTTCCTCGGCATTCACAATATCTGATTGAATATATCCTAAACTATGTTAATAAATCCTTTTGCTATAACAAGCGTGTCATATTCATTAAATAATAATGCCCTATTAAATGCTTCTTTGCCAATTTTTTCAACTCTCTTTTTAAAATCTTGTACAAATGGCATGTTTTTTTGTTTTTTAGAATTCCCTTCTCTCCTAAATTTGCTCGAATTCTACCATCATCAAATGAATTGGATTCCTAATTTTTATATAATAAATAAATTGATAATATTACTGTTAATCTTTTGGGATATTATTATTATTTTTTTTTTAGACACAAACCTCATCATAATTTTGTTTTATAGCTTCAACCACCAAACCTTGCCACTCTGGAAATTTTGTTGCAACAAACAATTTAAGAGATTTAGGTTTATTGGGATCAAAATTATCTGCCTTACTACCCTTTTTCTTTTCTTTTTTTGTGAGGCACCTTCCAAATCACGAATGTTTTTTATTAGTTTTCTAATATATTCAATTGCTTCAATTAAACTTTAATCAACAGGTTCTGATGGTGAAGGGAATGATGCATTTACTATAAATCCATCCTAAAATAATTGAAAATTATTTTTAATCAAATGGTATAGTAATATTTATTAAAAATAATAATACCAACTTTTTGTAAAACTTCACTCCATATATATTCAGACCAATTGGTGATAATAATAATGCTTGTAACTCTATCCATCTTAATATTAAATCTCGATGCATTCCTTCACCTTCTTGTGACGTTGCTTCACGCTACCAATCATGAGATGTTTGTAATTCATAAAAACCATATTTTAATGCATCACAGTAAAGTGAACTTTCCATTATGAATGAGGGAAAAATATATAAATTTAAATAAAATTTAAATATAATATAAAACAATTCATTATTTCTACATACACTTCATAAGCATTCCTAGTTTGTTGAATTAACTTGTTAATTTCATTTTTGAAACCCCTATCATGAAAACTATCTGTTGGTCCAGTATGTAGATTATCTTTATTTTTGATTTGTTCCTTTAATAAATAATAATATTCTTATTATTATATTAACTTTTTTTTTTTTGAAAAAAAAAATGGTGCATTTATTTGTGCACAAACAAACAAACAAATCACACATTTAACAAACCTCACACCATTCTTTTAATGTGAATAATCTTAATATTGCAGCATTTGCAGTATGGTGCAGGTCATCTATACTCATCAAAAATGTAGATCATTCCGAAATTTCAGATAACTATCAATGAATTTTTAT